AGAAGAAAAATCCCGTTGTAAGTATCTTTTTTTATTAGTTCCTTTATGGTAGATCATGACCGAATGTTCTAAAACACGACAATACAAATATTTCATATAGTAAACTTGTTCCAAACGGCTTTATTTAATGTTTCTGCAACGTAATGTACATCATTGTACCATCCATATAGTACGTATGGTGAGCTGTTCAGGTAATAACTCAATTTATGTCATGACCAAAACGGTCATTTACCGCAACTTAATATGTTGTGGTCATGACAATAGTTACTATTTTCAACTCAAACTTTTTATCATTTATTAATTTTGCTAAAACAACAACATATATCATTAAACATTTTAAACTATCAACCTTATAATTGATTTTTTTATTTAATTAAGCATAAAACAATTGATTTTTTTGTGTTTCGTAAAGAGTTGGACTTGACAGACAAAAATCATGCATAATTAGACCGTTTAATTTATTCGATGTTACATTGTTTTTTATTTTTATTTTTATTGGTGTTTTGGTGTTTTTATTTTAGAATTATGCATTGACTTTTTTATACGTATAACAAAGCAATGTCATGACCAAAAATTTTATGTCATGACCGAAAATTTTAGTCATGACCACAGCACCAGTCTTTCGTGCAAATAAAATTACATGCTATTAATTATTAGTAAAAAATAAGCCTTAGTGATATGATTTACTTCATTTTATGCCTGTTACTTCCTAAAACGTATAAATATTTGTTTTTTACAACAACAAAAATTGATTTTGTAATTACACAAATAGCATATTTTTACATCTGGCGATTTATTTGGCCCTCCACAGATTAGAAACGTATTCCAAAAATCCTCAACTTCTATTATATTACAGAGTATTAATTTTCTTTTCATTGGTAAAAAAAATATTTCTTTTCAATATATAGAAAAATATAAACTGCATGTTTTTATATCGTTGCGGTCATGACCAAAGCTTAAAAAATTTGATTTTACTTCTTAAATTTAATAAAATCTGTTTACTTTGACTCGTGACTAGCGTTGAAATTAGAGAGCATATGTATTACAAAGCTCATTGAACCATGTTGGACAGAGAAAGAAGATAGAGCAATATTAACTTCTTCACTTATGAAAATTGTCTCAAATTTGTGGAATCACCCTTACATGATCGGGAAACTGGAAAATTCGTAGGCAATTATAATAATATTAAGTGTTGAGAGGCCTAACAATGTGTAAGAGAAAAAAGTCGGTCAACATTAGAGTTATATATTCTAATTGAGTTAACATAATAATATTTTTATTTGGACTTTTAATATTCCTATAATATTAACTTATCTGTCTATAGGGTACCATCTTTAAGGGGGCCGACTATAGTTTCCATTGCGCAATATTTCGCGCATCATAGTAAAACTAGAGGTACTGTAGGCGATGAGCTCACTAAATGATACCCCCCGCCTCCATATAGTTATAATGGCAAAGTCCATGTTTGCTGTGGCCGGAAAACCCAAAATATGTGTCGGATCAAAAAGTAAAATAGGAGGTGCACAATGGCAATATGTAATAAAGATTCTGTGAAAGTTTCATTAAATTTCATTCAGTGGTATGAGAGGAGTTGCGGATAAGAGATGGGTATCCCAAAGAGTAACAGACGGACGGACGGGCGGAATTAACGATTACTATATACCCTCCCGCTTTTCAAGCGGGGGGGTATAATGAAGCATATATTTTACTGTTTTAATGCAACTTTTTTCGCTTAGTTATTAAAATTAAACAAAATTAAGAAATTATAGGTATAAAAACTGATTTTTTAACCGATTTTGCAATTGATAGGTAGGTTGACGTCGTTGCAGTGTGTGTTTGACGTTATGATAATCTACGGGCAAAAGGGTCATTTTTTTTATTTTTTTTTTATTTTTCGACGTCTTGCCCCCAACTGGAACTATACCCCCCCCCCCCGGGTTTTTAAAAATAAATATATTTCCGAAACAGGTGCCTGTGTACCAGGGACCTATATACTAATTAGTATATAGGTCCCTGCTGTGTAGCGAACATAGTTGAAACTAGAGGTACTGTGAGCAATGAGCTCACTAAATGATACCCCCCGCCTCCCATATGGTTATAACTGATGACAAAGTCCATGGTTTGCCATGGCCGGAAAACCCAAAATATGTGTCAGATCAAAAAGTAAAATAGGAGGTCACAATGGCAATATGTTATAAAGATTCTGTAAAAGTTTCATTAAATTTCACTCAGTGGTATAAGAGGAGTTGCGGATAAGAGATAGGTACCCTAAAGCGTATCAGACGGACGGACGGACGGACAGACGGACGGACGGACGGACGGACGGACGGAATTAACGATTACTATATACCCTCCCGCTTTTCAAGCGGGGGGTATAACAATTTACAGTTGATAACTGTAGCTCCCCCTGGCCTGGTCATGCTGGTTGTCCATGTCATTCAGACCGACATCGGTCTGGTACGAGTTGACTAGAAATTAATCCAATCTCTCACAAGAGGGCGTTTTACGCTGGTGATTCGGGGAGATACTAAAGACCTGACCTACTAAAGACCTGACTGACCTGACCAATATAAAATTCGTCAAAATCACTATTTTAAGACCAATTATCATATTTTTTAGGATATTTTCTTGATAATAATATGAAATTAAGTTAAATAAATATTAACATACACATTTTTACCATATTTATTGTTATTTATCTGTTCATTTCATGGAAATGTAATGACCTGACCAAATATGAGTTGACCTGACCAAAACCAAAATCATCAATAATAGTAATATTTTTTAAATATTTGATAATTTAAAAAAAAAATTCTTCATTATAATGGTTAATACTTTGGATAAAATGGTTTTAGAAACATTTTTACCTCAAGTGTTAGTTTATATCATGGAATTTTAATGGCCTGACCTTAGATGAAATGACCTGACCAAATATGAATTGACCTGACCAAAACCAAAATCATCATTAATAGTTATATTTTTTAAATATTTGATAAGTTTTTAAAAAATTTCTTCATTAAAATGGTTAATACTTTGGATAAAATGGTTTTAGAAACATTTTAACCTCAATTTTTAAGTGGTTGTTTATATCATGGAATTTTAATGACCTGACCTTAGATGAAATGACCTGATCAAATATGAATTGACCTGACCAAAACCAAAATCATCAATAATAGTTATATTCTTTAAATATTTGATAAGTTTTAAAGAATTATCTTCATTATAATGGCTAATACTTTGGATAAAATGATTACATTTAACATTTTCAACAATGAACACTTGTTTAAATCTAGTTAGAATAATCTAACTGTGTCTCGGTACAAGCCCTCACCACAATATCATTTTAACGATAGAACATTCTATATAGTTTAAATCTACATCTTCTTTATAAACTTGGTCAATTTTTATTTATTTTGTTTTATTTTGCTTTGTTTGTTTGATAAAAAAAAATATTTCAAAAGATAATTGAATTTTAATAACCCCATTTCAATCTGTATAATGAAGTTTAATGTTTACTAGTATTATACAAGCAGTATACACAAGGGATATTGAGAGGTAATGGTTAAACAAACAACATAGGTCAGTGCCCCTTTTGACACTTCTATCACAGTAACTTACCATAGAAGTTGTAAAATTTAACAGTTTTAATTTCATCATTTTTAATCTGAATTTAGAAAAAAAAATTATAATATGTATTTTTGTTTCTTTCATAAATTAAAAAAACATAAATACACAGATATCACAGCCTAAATACAATATGTAACATGTTTAAATTAAATACTGAGTAATCAATGTTTATAATTCGTTTGTCTGCATTATAGGGTTACATCTACAGTTGTATATATCTTTACATGACACAGATTTAATCTTAATAATCCAAATTTTTAAAACATTGGACGATGTGAAAAAAGATAAAAATAATATTTACTAGTAAAGTCTAGTATATAAAATACATGCATGTATTTAAATATTAAATAGCTGCTTTAATTATATTATACTGAATCTTATATACTCAATGATTTCCATTATTGCACTCATAAATGCAAAATTTAAAAAAATAGATATAATTTGAATAAAATTGTAGTGTCAGGACTTTAGCATATGTATACAGACATAGTTGGTCAGGTGTTTAGTAGAAATGGTCGGTCAGGTCATTCATATAGATACGTGGTTGGTCAGGTCCTTAGTAGGTAGAGTCGGTCAGGTCTTTAAAGCATTGGACATGCCCATGCAGTCAGGTCATTGCAATATATTGTTGTAATGTCACCAATATTTTTTCAAATGCTTAAAAAAAAAGATTTAGTATAATTGTTAAATTGTATTAGTATTAAATTCTTAAATTGTAGTTTGTGAAAATTCACATATGTATATAAATTCAGACAGTTTGCTTGGTCAGGTCAATGCAATTTTTTATGTCCTAGTTCAAATTAAAGTTCATAAATGTGTGTTTTCATGTCTGAAGTGTTTAATTAATTATATAATATCATACAATTGATTATGATATAAACATAAAGTATGAAATAATTAAAGAAAGATAAAGATTCTAAGTGATTTTTATTTGGTCAGGTCATTTCATATTTGGTCAGGTCATTTCATATTACCGGTCAGGTCATTAAAATTCCATGATATAAACAACCACTTGAGGTAAAAATGTTTCTAAAACCATTTTATCTAAAGTATTTAACCTTTATAATGAAGAAAATCTTTTAAACTTATCAAATATTTAAAAAATATAACTATTATTGATGACTTTGGTTTTGGTCAGGTCAATTCATATTTGGTCAGGTCATTACATTTCCATTAAATGAACAGATAAATAACAATAAATATGGTTAAAATGTGTATATTAGTATTTGTTTAACTTAATTTTATATTATTATCAAGTAAATATCCTTAAAAAATATGATAATTGATCTTAAAATAGTGATTTTTGACGAATTTTATGTTGGTCAGGTCAGTCAGGTCTTTAGTAGGTCAGGTCTTTAGTATTTCCCGGTGATTCGAGGTGTTCCGAAAAGATCATGACAGAGTACCAGTCTACATATTACACCCGATCGCGGGAAATATGGGTATGCAATGAACATTTGTGACTGTGGTATATTTAGTAAATATTTGGTAAGAGACTCTTACAGTGAATTTACATTTCCTCTTTTTCACCTAATTTAAATTTTTGAGTTAGCGCCTTCGATTGTTATTAAAATGGCGCCTCAGCTTACGCGGGTTATGGATTTTTTTCTGCGACAGATGCGACATGCATTCCCGTACTAATAACCAAAGAAAGCATTTTATTGTTTAAATTATAAATACCTTGATCAAGGTATTTTATGTAATGAAAATAAAAAAAAACATTCTTAGAAAATTAAAAAAACTGAAAGCGAGTTCTGAGTTTTTGTCCATGTGTCCACTCGTGCATGAAAAACACACTAGTATCAAAAAAGACAGCATAAAGGAACGTCTCCTCACACGACATGTTTTTATACTGATTTCTCTGTGTTATAGTACTTTACATGCATGGGTGAATTTACTGACAACAACTCAGAACTCGACTTTCAGTATTTAATATTTTAGGAAATTTTTTGAATTTTCATTAGGGACCTACATAAAATTCCTTGATCAAAGTATTTGTAATACCTTGATAAAGCTATATAGCTTTATCAAGCTATATACCTTTATCAGGGTATTGTCCAGACTTTCACCTACATCGGAAGGCGCCTGTTCACTTCCCTTCAGAGAGTAAGAATATTCCTTTTAATGAAGAAAACACAGGTATTACATAGATGTCATTGTAAGTTACAATGTAACGGAGAGGAGGAAATGCAGCGGACCAGAACAAGATTCAAACTTGGGTCCCCTGATTCACCAGTCAGATGCTCTATCCACTGAGCTTTCTGGCCACTGGTGATCGAACCTGGCTGACCGCCACATTATCTAGTAATGCAAGATTCAAGCAGAATGTATATGATAGGGAATTGCAGGTTTTCAGCCTCTTGTCCCTTGTTTTGTAAACCAATATACACAACAGCAGCAGATCTGTACTGTAGGTTGCTGATCTGAAAAAAAAGGAAATTTAGATGGACGACCAGAGAGCTGCAGTGCATGCACATATCATAAAATATGGTAACTGCACTTATTTTGCACGAATTTTAATTCTGTTAACAGGTTCTCTAGCATCTTTATATAGCTCCTAAGCTAATTCTTAAGACGATGTCTTAATTAATTTATTAAATATGGTTTCAAAAGTTACATGTACCTCTTCAAAATTTCCGTTTTTTATTAGAGGAGTTAATTTACAAGTTTGTTGAAGGTTATTTATATGATTAGATTATTTTCAAATGTAAGAAACTTAATTTTTAGCTCTACTGGTCAGAGACCAGAAGAGCTTATGCAATAGTAATGCGTCCGGCGTCCGTCCGTCTGTCTGTCTGTCTGTCTGTCCGTATGTCTGTAAACAATTTTTCAAAACGCTACTCCTCCTACAATTTTAGTCTGATTTCAAATATTACTTGGCACACAAGTAGACTACACTAAGATACATAGAATAGTGCATCGGTTTTTAATTTCGATGAACGGTGTTGCCATGGTTACTAAAAATAGAATTTTCTGTGAAATTCCTTGAAAACACTACTCCTTCTACAGTTTTGGTCTGATTTCAATATAACTTGGCACACAAGTAAACTACACTAAAATACATACAATAGTGCATCGGTTTTTGATTTCGATGAACAGTCTTACCATGGTTACTAAAAATAGAATTTTCTGTGAAATTCCTTTAAAACGCTACTCCTTCTACAGTTTTGGTTTAATTTCAAAATAAGTTGGCACACAAGTAGACTACACAAAGATACATAAAATAGTGCATCGGTTTTTGATAAGTACAAACCAGTAGAGCTACAGTCTCGACAGAGACTTCTGGTTAGTTTGATAACGTGGCAAATGTGCCCATTGATGATTCAAAGCCATACATCTTTTGATTAGAATGTTTGAATAGACAAAACTCAAATAGGTTCGAGTTGTCTGTGTGGTGCAGTGGTTAGAGCATCCGCTCTAGAGTTGCTGTTAAAAGAATTAATCCTTATGTCGCAGGTTCCGGCAATCCCACTGTGGGATGTGAAGACTGGTCCTTCGGATGAGAGCATATAAACCAAGGTCCTGTGTCACAGTAGGTGGTGGGCACAAAAAAGATCCCTCCCTGCTCAATGTCCCTGAGTGCCGAGCATAGTGCCAAGCTATAGATATCGACAGGAATTTAAGAATCTTCAATGTACAATCTTAAAATCATGCTGATTTAGGTGCTGTTGAACATGATTTTAAATGAGAAATATCCACGAGCCACAGTATTAAACTAATACCAAAAGATAATGATTTGGTAATATATTTTGGATTGAACATAGTGGACTGTTAAGTGTTTAGCCCTATGCATTATTTGTATACATGTTTATTTGTCAAATTTTAAAATTCCCTTTTTTTTTTAATTTAGGTGATGAAGAAATGAAGTGTTTGCAACTTTCTTTGCCTTTGACTGTTGACTGATTGCAGCAATGGTTGGAGGAAAAAGGCTTTCTGATGAAGGCCAAGAACAAGAGAATGTGATTATTGATTTTTTTTTTTCATTATGCTTTTTACCTCATCAGGTGATCTTTCCTTAGACTACAGAAAATTTATTCAGTTTTTAGGTCACCTGAGTAACTCAGGTGACCTATTGCTATCCGTTTTCGTCCGTCGTCGTGTGTCGTGTGTCGTGCGTCGTGCGTCGTGTGTTAACATTTGAACATTTTCAGCTTCTTCTCTGAAACCACTTAACCAATTTCAACCAAATTTGGTATACAGCATCTATGGGTGAAGGGGAACAAAAATTGTGAATTTCATGGTCCCTGCCCCCCTGGGGCCTGGGGGGTGGGGCAAAAACCACTTAAATTATTGCAATCTTTAAAAATCTTCTTCTTTACTCCTGGACATCAAGCAGGCAAACTGTTGTTATGAATGTAATGAACATTGAGTCCTCTACTTAAATTGTGAAATTCATGGCCCCAGGGTCAGGGGTTCTAGTGCTAGGGTGGGGCTATATAGATTATATAGTGAAATGCATGATTTCTTTGAAAATCTTCTTCTCTGCTCCTAGGTATTAGATAAACTAACCAAGCACTTAGTTATGATGAGCAAGAGTGCCTCTTCCAAAATTGTGAATTTTATGACCCAGGGTCAGGGGTTCTGGTGTTAGGGCGGGGCTCTATTGGTTCTGCAGTGAAAATGCATAAATTCTTTGAAAATCTTCTTCTCTACTTCTGGGTATTAAATAAACTAACTAAGCACATAGTTATGATGAGCAAGAGTGCCTCTTTCAAAATTGTGAATTTTATGACCCCAGGGTCAGGGGTTCTGGTGTTAGGGCGGGGCTCTATTGGTTATATAGTGAAAGTGCATTTTTTCTTTGAAAATCTTCTTCTCTACTTCTGGGTATTAGATAAACTAACTAAGTACTTAGTTATGATGAGCAAGAGTGCCTCTTCCAAAATTGTGAATTTTGTGGCCCCAGAGTCAGTGGTTCTGGTGTTAGTGTGGGGCCCTATTGATTATATAGTGAAAATGCATTTATTCTTTGGAAATCTTCCTCTCTGCTCCTGGGTATTTAATAAACTAACCTAGCACATAGTTATGATGAGCAAGAGTGCCTCTTTCAAAATTGTGAATTTTATGACCCCAGGGTCAGGGGTTCTGGTGTTAGGGCGGGGCTCTATTGGTTATATAGTGAAAGTGCATTTTTTCTTTGAAAATCTTCTTCTCTACTTCTGGGTATTAAATAAACTAACTAAGTACTTAGTTATGATGAGCAAGAGTGCCTCTTCCAAAATTGTGAATTTTGTGGCCCCAGGGTCAGCGGTTCTGGTGTTAGTGTGGGGCCCTATTGATTATATAGTGAAAATGCATTTATTCTTTGGAAATCTTCCTCTCTGCTCCTGGGTATTTAATAAACTAACCTAGCACATAGTTATGATGAGCAAGAGTGCCTCTTTCAAAATTGTGAATTTTGTGACCCCAGGGTCAGGGATTTTGGTGTTAGGGCGGGGCTCTATTGATCATATAGTGAAAATGCATAAATTCTTTGAAAGTCTTCTTCTCTGCTTCTGGGTATTAGATAAACTATGTAATTAAATAGCTATGTTGATCAAGAGTGCCTCTTTCAAAATTGTGAATTTTATGACCCCAGGGTCAGGGGTTCCGGTGTTAAGGCGGAAAGTGCATTTTTTCTTTGAAAATCTTCTTCTCTACTTCTGGGTATTAAATAAACTAACTAAGTACTTAGTTATGATGTGCAGGAGTGCCTCTTCCAAAATTGTGAATTTTGTGGCCCCAGGGTCAGGGGTTCTGGTGTTAGGGTGGGGCCCTATTGATTATATATAGTGAAAATGCATTTATTCTTTGGAAATTTTCCTCTCTGCTCCTGGGTATTTAATAAACTAACCTAGCACATAGTTATGATGAGCAAGAGTGCCTCTTTCAAAATTGTGAATTTTGTGACCCCAGGGTCAGGGATTTTGGTGTTAGGGCGGGGCTCTATTGATCATATAGTGAAAATGCATAAATTCTTCGAAAGTCTTCTTCTCTGCTTCTGGGTATTAGATAAACTATGTAATTAAATAGTTATGTTGATCAAGAGTGCCTCTTTCAAAATTGTGAATTTTATGACCCCAGGTTCAGGGGTTCTGGTGTAAGGGCGGGGCTTTATTGGTTATATAGTGAAAATGCATTTATTCTTTGAAATTCTTTCCTTTGCTTCTGTGTTTATGCCTATGATCCAAATATATATAATCATGATGAAGAAAGGTGCACCTAGCAATATGGTTATTTTTTATGCCCCCGCCCCTCCCCTGGGTTGGGGTGAGGGGGGGGGGGTACAAAGTCTAAAATTAATTAATGCTTGGAAATTTGCTCTTTGGTGTTAATCGACCATTTTATGATAAAATTTGCAAAATTTTGAAGTATGTGGCCCCAGGATCAGTGGTTCAGTGGATGAGGTGTACAACTGGTTATAAAGTGGAAGTGCATTTTCTCTTAATTGTACTCTGATCTACCTCTGGGTATTAAGTAAATAGAGTTAGCATGCTAAGTCTAAATTATTATAAGCAATGGTACCTCTTTCAAAATTGTGAATTGCAAATTCCATGGCCTCTGGTTTATAACATGAACCAAATTTAATTGTTTGAAAGTTGTTGCACAATACTCAGGTGACCTATAAGGCCCGTGGGCCTCTTGTTTTTTAAAACTCTTCCTGGATGGAACAATTTTCTGAAAAATTTGGTAAAATAAAAAAAAAACCACATGTGCGTCAAAATTTCAACAGTTTATCCTCTGTAGTGTATTTCCAGGAAATATAACAATCAATATTATATAATTTTTAAGGCTACAGTATTGTTAGTGTTTTGAGAGAAAGAATTACACATGTACTGATGAAAAAAATCTTAAGTTGGAAAGCAAAACTTTAAAGATTATGATATAAAAAAGTTTTGTAGCAAATCTTCATACTATATTGTACTAAATTGTAGTTTTTGGATGAACAAAATACTTGGAAATTAGAATAAATCATGTTAAAGTGTTTTTTAAAATTTATATAGGCTTTAAATACATAAATAGTACATGTATAGTAGTCCAGATATTGCTATCAAGGTTCTTTGATTTTGATGAATAGTATTGATATGGTTGCTAAAAATGAAGAATTTAAAAAAAAATGAAATACTCCACTCCAGCAGTTTAAAATGTCTAATTGCAATAAATTTTGCAACAAAAAGGAGAATTATTGAATGGTCATTATTATGTGTATTTTCTAAAATATAGTTTATTGAAAAATCCCAAGAGCCATATATTTCTTTTCTTTTATAAAACAATGATTACACTCAGTAAAGGTACCGTCTGATCTCTGTATATGTTCCATAGGCAATGTTTTTTTTTTGAAAAGTAGTATAAATATTTTATAGTCAAAATAAACTTGAATCGAAAATGTTTAATGTGAACAATTTTATATGTATAGGATTGTGAAAGAAAACGACAGAAGGCAAATGTGATGAATGATGCAGATAGTAGTACAGAGTCAAGTGAGAGTGAACCTAAGACTGGTTTTAGAGATCATTTGAAAACTGGTAAGTTCAGACAAGTTTTATTATATTGAACTCAATGAGACAGAAAAAAAAACTGAGAGATATCCAAATGTCTAAGATAATGTATTCAATAAGATTAGAATACAGTATGAAAATGGTTTTGGTGACTTTGGATCTGATGACCCTTTATATGAGTTACTGCCCTTTAACGTCTGTGCTTAATATTAAACCTACTTTGCGCTTAATATTAAACCTTATAACTTTAAGACTATAAGTCGTAGAGGCATAGGTTTTTTAGCTTTCCTGAGCCGAAGGCTCAAGTGAGCTTTTCTGATCACATTTTGTCCGTCGTCCGTCCGTCTAGCTGTCTGTCTGTCCGTCTGTAAACTTTTAACATTTTTGACTTCTTCTCAAGAACCACTGGGCCAATTTTGACCGAACTTGGTACAAAGCATCCTTGGGTAAAGGGAAATTTAAATTGTTAAAATGAAGGACCAAGGCCCCTTACAAGGGGAGATAATCAAGAAAAGACAAAAATAGGGTGGAGTTAAAAAATCTTCTTCTCAAGAACCACTGGGCCAGAAATGCTGAAACTTATGTGGAAGCATCCTGGGGTAGTGTAGATTCTAAATTGTTCAAATCATGACCCCCGGGGGTAGGGTGGGGCCACAATGGGGAATCAAAGTTTTACATAGAAATATATAGGAAATATCTTTTAAAATCTTCTTCCCAAGAACCACTGGGCCAGAAAAGCTGAAACTTATGTGGAAGCATCCTGGGGTAGTGTAGATTCTAAATTGTTCAAATCATGACCCCCGGGGGGTTGGACGGGGCCACAATTGGGAATCAAAGTTTAACATAGTAATATATGGGAAAAAATCTTTAGAAATCTTCTTCTTTTTAAGAACCTCTGGGCCAGAAAAGCTGAAACTTATGTGGAAGCATCCTGGGGTAGTGTAGATTCTAAATTGTTCAAATCATGACCTCCGGGGGTAGGGCGGGGCCACAATGGGGAATCAAAGTTTTACATAGAAATATATAGGAAATATCTTTAAAAAATCTTCTTCTCAAGAACCACTGGGCCAGAAAAGCTGAAACTTATGTGGAAGCATCCTGGTATACTGCAGATTCTAAATTGTTCAAATCATGACCCCAGGGGGAAGGGCGGGGCCACAATGGAATCAAAGTTTTACATAGAAATATATAGGAAAAATCTTTAAAAATCTTCTCCTCAAGAACCACTGGGCCAGAAATGCAGAAACTTATGTGGAAGCATCCTGGTATAGTGCAGATTCTAAATTTTTCAATATCTTGACCCCCGGGGGTTGTGCGGGCCACAATGGGGAATCATAGTTTTACATAGAAATATAAAGAAAAAATCTTTGAAAATCTTCTTCTCAAGAACCACTTGGCCAGAAAAGCTGAAACTTATGTGGAAGCATCCTGGGGTAGTGTAGATTCTAAATTGTTCTAATCATGACCCCTGGGGGTAGGGCGGGGCCACAATGGGGAATCAGAGTTTTACAATGGGAATCAAAGCATCCTATGGTACATGTAGTGTAGATTTCAAATTGTCTAAATTATGATCAGTGGGGTAGGTTTGGGTCACAATATGTATTACAAGGGGGAAATCTGGTAAAGAACGGAATGGTCAAAGCTTCTTAGGTGAGCGATGTGGCCCTTTGGCCTCTTGTTTTTATTTACATTTCCATTGTATATAAACAAAATTCCGTATAAATTGCTACAAAGTGGTATACAAAGGATTTTAAACTCACACACACACCCTCCCTTACGTTCACTCACACATATCGGATTAAACTGGAATTATACGGAAAAAAATTAAGGCTGCTTTTAGAATTCACTACATCAATTGTTCAACAAGAGGCATAGGGTTAATTGCAATGTGATCCTTGCAATTTTGACCTTGAAAATTTAAGGTCACCGTCTATCCTTTAAGCCACTTTTAGTTTCTTTTTCATGGTATTTGATCAAATGTTGATTTCAAGGAGTTAGATATAAAACAAAATTGAAATTCAAAGAAGGTGGAAAGACCGCTTATTGTTCTGTGAACAATTCTTATTGTTCTGTGAACAATAAGTCTCTTAGTGTAATTTTATTGTTTTCTTCACCTGTAAATTATTTTCTTCAAAATCTCTCACTTGTTTGCATATACAAATGTTTTCACATTTTCATGTCGTACTCTAGCTTTCAAAAAGACTTTAAACAATTGATACTTTTTCCTCAAATATAGGAGGTACCATGTGGAAGCAACTTTAGTTGAATATTTATAAAGAATATTTTAACTAACACACTAATGTTTAAATCTGATGAAGGCAGATTTTGAAGATTTTTAGAGCATTCCATTTTGAATTCACCTCCAACCTCTCAGACCTTCAAAACAACTGTGAATATGTCCTTGACAACCTCCCTCTAATAAACCATTGAAATAAATTTAGAAATACATCTAATCTGTTGGAACTAAACTTCATTGAATATCATGAATATTTCAGAAAAAAATTAACTATAATGTTTTTTCTAATTCTAGAAAACATGGAATTGACATTTGCTTCACAGAAATGGAGTATACTTGTTTCCATCTTGTTGTCGGACAAGTACAGAATTGCACAGGACACTTCATGGAAGGAAATGAAGAGGAAAGTAGAAGAAACTTTTCCATTATTGACCAGTGATGGAGCTGCAGATTCACAATTAATACAAGAGTTAATAGAAAGTGACAAAGTTCTAAAAGTCATTAAAACAGAGCAGGGTGACGTTATTGAGTTTGTCTCAGATGACATTCGTCATGAAGTGATGGCATATTTCACTTCAAATTGCCTGCGATCTGATGAAGATTATAAAAATTATATAGACCTGACATCAGTAGATTCTCTATTAGAGTATGCCCGCTCCCAGCTGTATATTAAGGATGATGGAGAACAGTGCCTGTACTTGACAGAGGAGATGATATTGTTCTTCATTCAGAAACACGGCTTGGATGCTTTGAAAAACATTGGACCAATCAGTGAAAATATAAAATGCAGTAAAGAGTTATCATATATCTGTGAGTATTAAATTATAGAATATAAATATATTTTCCCAAATATTTTCTCTGTTTTATGCAAATTGTAATTTCTGATTATATAATATAGATGGTGCAGAATTTTTAGCAAGGATTTATTAATTTTGTCATTATTTAATAGTGAGGTTGTTGAGATTGCTTAAATTTACTTTTCAGTTAAAATCTGTCTTTTTTGACATTAAAAAATCTCTTGATTACTTCTCACTAGAACTATATGACAATATTTAGGGAAAAAACCTGCATTTGCATCTTGCTAAATAAAAATTCTACTTACACAGTGATAACAATCATTAACATGTATAATTCTTTACAGTGAAGGTACCTGAAGAAGTATTGGAGTGGGATGTAGCTGCACGCTCTAGTTATGTAGACTGTGCTTTAAAAGGAACCCGTACAATACACAGGGCTAGAGCAATGCTCGTGGGTTGTGCAGGAGCTGGCAAAACTACTCTCCTCAACAGATTACAGAAGAAAAGTTTTAAAGAAATAAAAGAAATCCAATCAACAGTGGGACTAGAAGTCCATGAAGATATATTTGAAAGAGATTCCAAAAAACAATGCTCTAAAAGGTTTGATTAACTTGCAGTATATAAAGTGACAAGCCAATCCAAATTGTGTGTAACTTTCTGCCCATAAATTAAACAGAAATAGTGAATCTGCTTAATTAAGACCCTGTTGAAGTATTGCATTAAAAGATTTGCAATGTTTTTTCAATCAATTCAGTGTTTTTATTTCAGATATTAACGACGCCACAGATACAGATGGAAAACTGTTACTGAGTATTGTTGACTTTGGCGGGCAATGTGCCTATTATGCCTGTCATCAGGTATATTTAAGTAAACGAGCATTTTATATCCTTGTTATAGACAAGTCCAAATCATTTGACCAGCAACTTGACAGA